CACAACCGCCATAAGGTGGTGCATGACGAAGTCCAATGTAGCCGGGCGTAACTCCTCTCCTGACCATTAGACACCTCAATCATGGGACAGCCTAAGGTGATTGTGACGGCAACTCGCATTCGTCATAACGCGTATGCAAACCTTGTCGGTGTCCGCAACGAATAATCGAACCTTTCACCTTGATTAAGACAGATAAGGTATCGTCAGAATAATAATGAATAAAAGAATCAGTTGGGGTTTGATTGCTGAAAAAAGTACCCGGTCATCTAAGGCCTCTTTATCTAGAATCAGACGGCCGACAAAGTCGCTTGCGTTCTGAAAGAGTTAAAATTTAATATCCATTCAAAAATCCGTATAAAGGCAAGTGAAGTAGATGACGACACTTTCACAAATCTTCCTTGCATGTTTGAGATCCATGACGTGGCTTACAGAAATCAGCTGCTGAATGCTTTGTTGCACCCTCGAGGCTGGACCAGACGACGTAGAATGGTCATTCTAGCCAGATCCACTATCATCCTAGTCAAGGTGGCTGCTCAGTTGCAGAAACATGTACAGTCACACAACTGCTAGTATCAATGGCAGAAAAATATTGCTGACTGACACAAAGGCGACCGGAATGGTCATTTCTGGTTTATTGGCCGTCATCAGAAAGCCATTCTCAGTCCCAGGTATTGCAACAATGGTGGCTCGAACCCGCAACCTGGTTAAGGCACAAAACTCTAACAGCTACATGCCTGGCTCTTTGTGTAGACATTTTTAGTCAGAAGTATTAACAATGGTGGATGGGCGTCCACCGACCGGTTTTGGAACTCACTCGTCCCGTTATGACTTGGGGCTCACTCTCGAGCCTCGTCAACAGTCAAGTCAAGTCAAGTATTGTAATCGACAGGATAACATATTCGACAAAGTCACGGGAGATGGGAATGTTCATTTCTGGCTTATTAACCTTCCTCAGCCAGCCACTGACCACGTTTTTGTGTTATACCGACTAATGTTGTGCACTGTTAACTGATTTTTTTCGACAGTGAGCAAACACAAGTTGACCCTAAGCTATCCGAATGTCCGGAGACTCGAAAGGAGATTGTGAAGAGCTCGCAGTTTTAGTCACAAAGGTCGCATCTACTTCCTCTCAACTAGCGGACTGGGAATATGCGCGCAAATTATGAAGTGCTACTTATAGGGATATTGGATTTGAAAAAGAGTAGGATATTATTTTAACCTTGGCCTGCACTGAAAAACGAAAATCGATCAGCTCAAGTATGTCAAAGATGACTACCGATACCCAGAAATAGGAACACATGCATGTTATCTTACTGGCTCTTTGCAACAGCCGCAGTCATATTATGCTAACTGCCGTACATAAGAAAGGATAACCATTCGTAAACTAGAGCTGCATATCAAGTATCTTAAACCAATCGGCTCTGAAAGCATGATTCCTAGTGACAAATATTAGCGTGATTCTTGGCCTACAAAGAACATTTGTGCTGAGAACTGTTGTGGAAGGTTTCGGAAACGCACCACTTTCCCTGACATTTGGCTTCACTCTCCAAAACATTTGCACTGTGCCGGTGTATAGGGGTCTACACTTTTAGGGTATTTATCGTCAGAAACGTGTTCAGATGTAGTCGTGGTTGGTGTGAAAAAATGTCAATATTTTTAGTCAAACCAAAAATACGAGAACTCTGTCTAGCAGTTAAGCGTTTCGTTTAATCGTCCTCGAAAGGATAGCATAGAATTTTTACACAACTGATAACTTTCCTATCTGTGTTATTTGGGAGACCAAGATCAAAATTATTCTCAATCACCTTAAAAGTGAAGATTTCACGCCTATAACTTCAGTTGTTTCGGACAGAGGAACACTCACCGGAATACTGGTGGATGTAGGTTAAATTCTTGGAAGGTTAGGTAGTCCCGTGTTCTTACTCCATTCCTATGCTCTAGCACTCCTTATTCTTTCAGAAAACTCATGGGTTTTACATTATCATATGCAGTTGTAAGTGATGTGATACGCATTTTGATGGCCCTTTCAAAACGCCGCATAAACCCCACTCATCTATTACGTAGCTACTTGATATGAAACAATTGAAAATCAGTCAGGAATTTGTTTGTGTTATAACTATCCCATCTGATTAGTTTAGCACGTCGGTGAAGCATGTTTAGACTGATTTGTTAAGCTTGGTACACATTTTGCCTTCCATATCTTGGTTTTTTACAACACGGAAATACTACAAGTTTCCCTGAGGCCTCGAAAGTTATGCATAGGTTAAAGTGAAATTGAGAGCACAAAATGCTAGAAAACGTATTATTTTGATCAAAGTCCAATTCCATTCAAGTATGCATTTAGTATCATAACAACAGGACGCAACACTTACCACTGGATGCCACCAATTCGAGCCATCGTATCATTTGCAACCTTCTAAATTACCGTCTCGCACCACCCGGCATGACCGTTTAAGCGACGAAGACGATACAGCGAACGCCAACGTCGATACGTGAATTGTGGCACGTAAGCAATTCAGTCAATTTCAAACGCCCCGATATCGATCGTATAATTAGCCTGCGTAAAAATCGATCCGCGTAATTTGAATTGCCTGCTGCCGTTGCTGGCCGAATTGCAGACAGCCCCAAAGTGACTTAGAAAATTCTAGAAAGGCTTCAGTTTCGCCATAACCAATTTGTTTTATTCACAGAGTATCAGGAGCTATTCAGCTGCCTCAGTTTATGTAAATGACGGGTTATTTAAAGTGCAGTGTAGTTTAATGCTAGGACATGTTGCCCAATTGTTCCATAGAGCAACAGTTGGGCCATAATTTCCGTTTTTCTCGATTCAAATTAATGCAGTCTACGGCAGCTCGGTGCCATCAGTCGTCTCTTTTAAATCAGCAGTTTTGCAATGTTCATGGGCTTTGACTAGAAAACAGGAGGTTATTATTCCCCGATTAGAATGCATCTTTTGGCATATAATGGTTTTAAGTTACTATCTGGATGTGAACTACGGTTTATTCCACCAAAACGGTGTTGCTAAACACCCTTTTAAATAGTAGTATATATGAAGACACACTTTGTT